ATGACGCGATTTTCCTTTGATAAAAGACCGACAACTTTTTGCTCTACTTTGCATCGAATACGATCCTACTATAGTAGACCGATCAAAATAACTCATTTAGAGGAAAAAAAGAAAGAAAATTGTTACCTGTACTTTTATAAGTGGAAATGGTAAAGGGGCTTATAATAAACAAACAATAAATAAATGCCTGAGCAGGGGTGGCTCAGGGTTGATTTGGGGGGTTGAAAAGTTATGAAAAATTGTATCATTGGGATTTCTGGCGAAAGTTGACGTCAAACAAAAAAGTATCTAAAAAAAGTTGTATATCATACAAAAATCTACAACTTCTCCAGAGGTCATTTTTTAACATAACCTCAAAATTTCCGAGAAAATTGCAAAAAACAGTTTTTTTTCTGATTATTCGTTTTTTATTTCTCATTTCCGCAAAAATAATTTTATTTTGACGAAACTTGGTGAAAGTATACCTTTCTCTGTCTTAAATAACCTCAATTTTTTTTAAATAAAAAATCAAGAAGTTTCTGAGATATTAATTTTTTTCGGTCTGAAACACTTTTTTTCAAAGAGAAAAATCATTGTACAGAGTTCTGCCGGTAATATTTTTTTTTCGTTTTGACATATACTTTTTGGTGAAATAAAAAAATTTGTAATCACGGTTCATAAACATGCTCAAAAATGCAAAAAAGTAAAAAATGACTTGCAAAAATGAATTTTTCAGTAATTATTGATAATTTGTTTAAATTAAAAAAAAATCAAAAACTTATTACACCATTCAATTGTACGGAAAAAATACAAAAAAAAACTGTCTCATTGTTTGACCCAAAACTATTTTTATACAGTATTGCTATAAACATAAGTCGAATAATGAATAAATAAAATAAATAATAATTTTTTTTCCATAGGATCAATTAGTGTACTTATTTTTTTTTAAGTTGAATACATAGATATACAGTGTGTCCAAGATAAATATGGGATAGCATTAGGATCTAGGAAACGGTAAGAGATACGGGGTGGCTCAGATTAGAAAAAAGTTGTATTTTTTTTAATAACATTATGCTGTTTAGAAAGTTTTAAAATTCCGGGTAGTTCCGGAGATATCCGGAAAAACCCGGAATTTTGCAAAATTGTTTAATTTTTTCTGGCTTTATTTGAAAACGAATTTTAAAATAAATTACATATTTACAATGTCACTTTTTTCGCTCTTTACAATGACGTCTACATTTTTGCAATCCGACGTTTCGTCTTCGAGGGCCCATCATTGGGTTAATTTTTTTAAATACGTCGCTGCTATTTTTATGACAAAATCTAAAGTCATTTTTAATTCTGAATTAGAAGATATTACTATTGCAAAAGTTTTTAGCTTGTTTTAGCTATAATTTAAAATTTTTCCTGAGTACGGCTCTGAACGCTTTCAAAATATCTATTGGATGAAGTCACAACAGTATAAAAGTCAATACCGCACAAAATATCCAACAATTTTTTACTACTGTTAGCAATACTAATTAGAAATAATAAAATATTTCATAAATTCGTATTATTTTTTTATTAGGTACAACTTTTTAAATTATGGATTAAAAAAATTGTTGGATATTTTGTGCTGTATTGACTTTTATTCTCTCCTCTCTCTCTCTCTCTTCCAATAGATACAGGTATTTTGAAAGCGTTCAGAGCCGTACTCAGGAAAAATTTTTAATGATAGCTAAAAACCTTTTTAAGCGATTACAATAGTAATATCATCTAATACAGAATTAAAAATGACTAGATTTTGTCATAAAAATAGCAGCGATATATTTAAAAAAATTAATCTGATGATGGCCCCTCGAAGACGAAACGTCGGATTGCAAAAATGTTGACGCCATTGGATAGAGCGAAAAAAGTGGCAATGTAAATATGCAATTTATTTAAAATTCGTTTTCAAATAAAGCCAGAAAAAAAATAAAACGATTTTGCAAAATTTCGGGTTTTCGGATTTCGCGTCAACAGTAGACTTTGCAGTTGATACTTTGTATTGCTGAAATCTCAAATCATCCAGAGATAACTTATCATTTGTGCATTTGTAATTTGACTGACAATTAGATGTTTATAGCAATACTGTACAACAATAATGTTTTGGGTCAAACAATGCGACACAGTTTTTTTTTATTTTTTTCCGTAGAATTGAATGGTGTAATCAGTTTTTGAATGTTTTTTAAATTAAACAAATTATCAAAAATAACTGAAAAATTCATTATTGCAAGTCATTTTTTATTTTTTTGCATTTTTGAGCATGTTTTTGAACTGTTATTACAGATTTTTTTATTTCACCAAAAAGTATATGCCATAACAATGATTATCTCAGAAACTTCTTGATTTTTTTATCTAACAAAAATTTGAGGTTATTTAAGACAGAGAAAGGTATACTTTCACCAAGTTTCGTCAAAATTAAATTATTTTTGCAGAAATGAGAAATAAAAAACGAATTTTCAGGTTATGTTAAAAAATGACTTCTGCAAAAGTTGTAGATTTTTGCATGATATACAACGTTTGTATTGGATACTTTTTTGTTTGACGTCAACTTTCGCATGAAATCCCAATGATACAATTTTTCATAACTTTTCAACCCCCCAAATCAGCCCTCCGCCGCCCCTGTTCACGCATTTATTTTTTTTAGTTTTATTATAAGCCCTTTTGCCATTTCCACTTATAAAAGTCCAGGTAACAATTTTTTTTTCTCCAAGTGTAATTTNATTTCCTTGCATGATATACAACTTTTGTATTGGATACTTTTTTTGTTTGACGTCAACTTTCGCCAGAAATCCCAATGATACAATTTTTCATAACTTTTCAACCCCCAAATCAACCCTCCGCCGCCCCTGCTCAGGCATTTATTTTTTTTAGTTTTATTATAAGCCATTTTGCCATTTCCACTTATAAAAGTCCAGGTAACATTTTTTTTTTCTCCAAGTGTAATTTGGTTGGATTATAGGTACCTACTGATTTATTGGAGTAATATCATTAGTTTTGAGCGTAGGCGAGATATAACTTATATGGTATATTGTATTAATTGTCACTGCAATTCACTGCCTACTTGCATAAAGTATTACAGAGTAGATGTTTTTCACAATATCATTAGTAAAAAATACAATTGGCTACTGACATGTGGGGAACTATACCTAATCAACAATTACCTTCTTATCTTATTTCAATTTATTCATAAACGCATAAAATGAAATACTTTTCGCACTAGTGCATAAAATAGTTTTTTCGAAAACTGTCATTAAAAAGTCTGTTACATCCAGAACGTAGAAGACTTATCCACCTAGAAAAATCAATGAAATTGATGGGTCTAGATGATAGAATCAGTTCACCAGTTTATTTAAGTATTATTATCAATAAAACCACAAATTATAACAATCATTAATAATAATCAATTTAAAATAACTTTCATTCCCAAATGCAAAAGTAGAATTTCGCAATCTAGCATCAGGAATAACTATACTTATATAATTTAATTTTATTCATATATATTTGTCGATAGAAAAAAATATTCATTGCTATTTGTCTGTAAAATAGTTTTTGTCACTCGTAGAAAAACTCCCACTTGTAAAAAAAATTATTGGTATTACAAAGATTGCATAAATAAATATGTTTATGTAGTTTTTATACTTAATAAAGCATTATAAAATTTCATTAAAACTGGGTTTTATTAACATATGTAGCAAAATAAATTTTCTTAATTTACGGTTGAAGGGAATGGCTACACGCCACACTATCGAACGAGCTATCAGGAGGAAACATACACCCATAGAGAAACGGGAGTACTTACGTATCTACCTTACGTGAAAGGTATAGATAAAATCGGACGTCTTTTGAAAAAGAGGAATATCAACACAGTATTCAGCACTGAAAAGAAGGTGGCGGCAGCGTTTCGAAAGACCTCCAACAACGACCAGCTCCAGGGCCCTGGTGTGTATAGTATTCCTTGCTCTTGCGGAAAGGTCTACATAGGATAAATAGGAAGACACATCAACACGAGGTTAAAGGAACACAAAAGTCACCTCAAAGTGGCCACATCAAATATAAATAGTGTCAAAATTAGTAGATCTCCATTTTCAGAGTGACTTCTGAAGAAGAGAGCGATATGTATCTCGAAACGTCATGAGTTGTAAATCGACGACGCGGCAACCAGCCCAAAAATCATTCAACCATTTACGGTTGAAGTTAAAAAAATATCGTTTTTATTCAAATACCTCTGAAGATAACTTGATTATGAAACTGGGGCTAATAATTTACATAATTAAAGGCAAAATTCATATAACGTAATTCTGTTAACCAACTGTGGAGAGACAGACAGGAGTCAGTAAGATCCCCAGAATTCCGACGCCATTGAGTATTATGGAAATTAGATAAATCTTTAATTCCTAATGTTATTTCTAATAAAATAGGTATGTACTTACCATTGTATTCAAATAACAAGTCATTTTCGAGTTATTTTTCAAAATTAATCTTATTACACAGTTGGTTAAATTTAAATTATCTTTAAAAAATATTTGTTTCCCTAAAATAGTTATTTTGAATAAAAAATGCTCACATATTTGTTTTTCCGAAACATAGAGATATTTTAATCCTATTTAACTGTATATGTAACATGGAAATCCTGTTTTTTTTTTTTAGAAATTGCATTAGGGGTTAAATTTACTTATTCAATTCTTAGTAAAAATGTCTCCCAACACCTCCGCCACTGGTAGATGTAAGAGGAAATGTTGATTAAATCCACATTGAATTGGCATCTTTAAATTCAATTAAACTTAATATATTTGAATAAGTACTTATATTTTTTAATGTTCAACTTCTTATATTTCGTAAACTAATGATTTTAGGTCCATGGTTCATTTAAATGATCCAAGGAACCTCCTAAAGTCCATTTTGTCATTTAAAAAATTTAAAAAATGCAACAAGTAAAAGACAATTTCAGACAACACTAATAAGTTACTATCCAACATAAATATATACTTTTTTTGCAGTGGGAAACTATACTATTACTTATCCAAAATACACCCCAGCAGCCACCGTAGAGCGGGTTGGAGAAAATTCGACGAAAAGCCCCCTGGGACATCAGCTGCATATCAAGGCACCGGAGCTAGGCCGAAACTTTAGTTTAGAGTTAGTGTCAACCCCGAATCTCTTATCCAATAATTTTGTGTTCCTGGAAACCTTTGCCAATGGATCAAACCCTCTGGTCTTCCACGATGAAGACAGAGATTGCTACTTTAGGAGCCGTCAAGCTGCTGTCAGTCTCTGCCATGGTGTAGTAAGTATTTATAGAATATAGAGTAGCTTTATATTAAATTACTGAAATAGTGCCTACAGCATTTAACAAAAGTCTAGCGAAATGATACTGATAGATACTGATTATTTGTGTGTTTCTTATAACACTGGCTCACAGACCATCTTCGAGTGAATTATTATTTATAGTCTAAACATCATACGTTCCAATGCTTGAAAATCTTTTGTAATACTAAATAATGTATTTTACAGATTTATTTAACATGTTTATTTCTCCTAACACTGACTTAAAACTACCTTTGGGTCATTTATGTACCTATCACCCCGTATTACAGTGTTTCAAAATCCTCTGCGACCTCAAATTATTTGTTTCACATTTTGATTTAAAAATGAAGACAAATTTAAACTGAAACTAACATTTTTTATTTTTCTCATCACTGAGTTATTGTTTAATTTCGATTGAGACCTTATGTTCTAAACACGTTGTGTATTTCAAAATCTTGTGACACAAATAATAAATGTACAAATCTAATTAAATTGAATTGTTGAATGAAAATAAGAAAAGTAATCGTTTTTATTTCTTACACCAGTAAATAAACACAACTACCTTTAATAAAAGCATTGAAGAAAAATTAAAACTAAAAGTCGATTTCCTGTCCAACCTTCCTCATCTAATTAAAAATATTGTCTCCGAGGATAATTGATCTTGATCTACAAACATCAACATAATAAAGGTGAAACGCTCTGATATTTGCTCACGAGGTACTGGTGACCTAGTTATACGGACAAACAAAATGGAATGTAAGCTGGAAACAGGCCATATTGCTTTATTATAAATTGCCTATATACGTCGTAAACACACAGTAATGCTTGTTTAATGAAAGCAACAGGAAAGTGCATTAGTTGAAGGTAATTTATCATTTGTTACACTTCGAAAACAAATAACTTTCTTGTTTATTCCAAAGTTTTTAAATTCATAAAATGCCATTACCGTTTAACACAGATTAAATATCCAATCAGGTTTAAAATAAAAGTTTCAATTTTCAAAATAACGTATTTCGCTGAAAGTAATTTCTAGTTTGTAACATTGGAAAACAGTTAACAATCTTTCTGTTTTGAAGTTCTTAAATACAGTAATAAAGTCTGTGACGAATTTGCCTTGATGTCATCAATAGTCTGAAAGCACTAATTAAAGCATTTTAATTTCGGAAATTAGAGAAAATCGCTCCTTGTGATCCTTTTGTCTCAATTTCGTAGCTTTCGTGTCCTGTTATGATCTTTTGAATGAATGTTTCATTATATTGTTGTTGCCAACATACGATTTTGTTTGTGTTGTTCAATCATCAAACGAGGAACAAATTTGGCTGTAACTCGATGCATATTTAATTTTTTAGTCAGAATTGTATGGCATGCACCAGATCTTTAACTTTCTGATCGTGGGAGTCATCAGTTGAAGTCGGAGACCTTCCTGGCCGAGGATCATCTTCAATTGACTGACGATCACTTTTAACTCGTGAAAACCATTCGTAACATTGGATACGACCCAGAGCATCATCTCCGTAAGCTTGCTTCATAAACGTTTCAAACGTTTCCCTGGGTGTGCACATTTCACAAATCGTCACTAATACTTAAATACGTTGCACTCAAATAACAATGTTATGAAAACTAAATGAGAATGAGATAACAACAATCCTAGAGCACGTCTGGTATTTTATATACTCTTCAATAAAAGCAATTTATTACGCTGAATATTTATATACTTTTACTTTCGGCACTCTTCTTTATACTGGTTGCGATAGAACAACCTGGTATTTTAATTAGTAAATTATTATTGTAATATATTTTAATATTATTATTTTGTTAGCACCTGGTAATTTTAAACAGTTATTTAATCTGGTAGAAAATCTGAAAATGTTAACACATTTCCATACATGTCAAAGTGGTATTTTCGGATAAAATTACGTTTTCTCTATTTAGCACATAGAAAGACAATCAATTGTGCTTGGAACTTTATGAATCTGACAACAATCTACATTAAAGTGGACATGGTAATATCTTAATTGCAGTTAATATATTCGTAAAGGATAACAATAAATCGATTGTAATTTCTGCGCCCCAATTTATGAAAATTGTTCTATAAATAAGTGTTAGCAACCGTTTCAGTTTCAAACTACAGAATATTAAATGAATCATGAGTCGCGCGTTAGCGACGAATAGGGCAAGTTCAAGAAAGACAGCAATATTTCATCTTGAGCTATTTTTTTTCTGCTTATATTCAGGGCAATGTGAGGCAACATAGGCAAGTACGAAATGACTATTTTAAGAAAGTATTGGATCAAAATTCTCATATATACAGGGCGATTTTTGAATTTTCAATAAAACTGGTTTAACTTTTGAACCTTTTGTAGGAATAATTTTTTTGGTATACGATATATCAGTAAAGATAGACTTTTGGAGTCAGAATTACAAAATTTTAGGACCGTAATGGGAACATTCCTATATTTTTGTGGCTGATCTGGAAAGTTCATCTTACATGTTTTTAAAATTTCTTTTAATATATTTAAAATTTAATGTACATGAACGGGTGAGACTTTTCGTAAAAAAAGATGCGAAAACAAGTTTCACACTTCTTAACTTTTTAATGAAATCTGGTAACTGACACTTTTTTAATCAGCTTTTCAATGTTGTTCTAGCAAGGAAAATAAATAGACAATATTTCAGCATCAATAGTACCACGACTTTCTACTGTATATTTGTACGAAACAATTGAAAAATGTATAACGTAAGTTTCTAACTAGACGGAATTTAAATAAGGGATTTAAAGTAACAAGACTATTTACTTATTTTTCTCAAAAAAAAAAAGGAAAATAACTATTAGTTAATAATATTCAATAATAGTTTAATACATATTTCGCTTCGATATTACTTATAGGTCACCTAATGTACTAAAATTTAATCATTAAAAAATAAAAAAATAAATCTTCCTGAATAATATTCAAGTGGACGTTTCTAATGTGTCAAATGAATAAATATTTTTCTGTTAGAATTGACGGTTTTTTAATTTTGAATTACTGTAAGCGGTCATGGTATTATTAATAAGAACGGAAATATGAAAACATATCTTAAATTGCTCTCTTTGCTACACTAGTATTGTAGATGTGATTAAAAATGTGTTACCAGAATTTAATTAATTCAGAAATCAAGGATAATGTAATAAAAAAATCAAATTCAATTTTTTCCAATGTGCAGATATTTTCAATAATCATACTAAATGAAATAATAGAAAAATATACAGAGATGATTTTTCCGAAACGACGATTAAGAAAAATTATCCCATCAAAAATATAGAGAATTTTAATTCTACACTGTGTATATAACTACAGTAAGAAGACGCATTATTAATAAATAATGAAAACATAGAAATATTAGTTCCTGCTGTTGCTATTAAAACTTTCTTATATTACGTATAATTACAGAGGGGAATCGTACATTCCGACGATGAAAACTATTTCGTAATCCACCCACTGCCGAAGAGGTTCCACAACGAAACCTCCAATCCGCATCTTCTAATTCGTAAAAGTCACACAGTAGCTTCACCAAGTTCATGTCCACATTCACACTTGAAGAAGTCAAATCTTAACGAGGCATTACTTAAAAATTTAGAATATAACGTCACTTCGCAACAAACCAAAGATTTTAGAGAAGCCAAAGACAGCTCGGGAAAATCGAGCATTTTGAGAAGGCGGAAGCGTGAAACCTTCCCGGAGGGAGCGCCCGCATTCGTGGAAACTGCCGTTTTCGTGGACAGGGATCTTTTCGATCATATGAAGAGCAACTTTCCTGTGGACACCGAAAGGGAGTTGATAAGATTTGTTCTAGCTATGATTAATGCGGTGAGTTACATTTGGTTGTGATATCTTTTTTCTAGAATTATACTTGCCACTTGCATCAGCAAGAAAAGTAAGAGTAATGTTGTAGAATAACACTGGTGATTGTTAGATGAATGGATAATGTTGGATAGTCTTTCTATCTACTTATCTTTATATTTTTCCAAAAAAAGGAAGTTTTCATCAAATAACATTTCAGTTTGGACTTCTTTATTTATTAATCAAAGGTTAATCAATACTGTTAGTAGCCTTGAAGTAGTGTTCCTATATGATAAAACCAATTTTGCAATTTTCTTTCATGTATTTCGTTTACATCTTTAGAATACATTTCATTTTTAAAGTATTCGTAACAAATTTCACTGCCAAAAATTTATTCTTGGAGTCACGCACACAAACACACACACACACACACTCACTCACTCACGCACGCACCCACGCAAGCAAGCACGCACGCACGCACCCACCGCACGCACGCACGCACACACACACACAAAGTTATCTGTACTTCTCATGCGACATATGTTATCTGTAGTATTTTTGCCTCCTGATCACGAATCCGGTGTCAGAATTGAGCTATCACATCCCAGGAATTTCCTAACCTCAAAAAACAGGTAAAAAATGACAAAAATTCATTAAAAAGTGCTAGGAAATATACAAAAATTTTTTTTCTATATCCAAATGTTCATTTATATAGTTAAGACCCCGCCCAAAGTGAATACGCGGTCAGAATTATTGATTCTTTTTCCAACCTCAAAAAAACGGGTCAATTAAGGTCAGATATCACGAATTTTCAAAAAATAACAGAATCGCATCAAATTCGGTATACGGGGGTTTTCGGGATCGCTGACTATGGATCCTAGGTCAATTTTGCAAAATTCAAGATGGCAGATCCAAAATGGACGACCAAATTTTCAAATAATAACAGAATCGCAGCAAATTTGGTATACGGGGGTTTTCGGGGTCGCTGATTACGTATTCGAGGTCAGAATTGCGAAATTCATTTTGTAATATTTTACTTTATAACCTGAGTATCCAATCATGTGTTAACCTACTTTTTTCGACTATATCTTATTCTTTTTTCTGTAAAAGATCTATTCGCGGGTTGAATTTTGTAAATCTGATCTCGGACTCGTGATCAGTGACCTCGAATTCGTGATCAGTGACCTCGAAAACCCCCGTATGCCAAATTTGGCGCGAATGTGATATTTTTTGAAAATTTGGTCGGTCGCCATCTTGAATTTTGCAAAATTGACCTCGAATTCGTGATCAGCGACCTCGAAAACCCCCTTATACCAAATTTGATGCGAATCTGTTATTTTTTGAAAATTTGGTCGGCCATCCTGGATTCGCCATCTTGAATTTTGCAAAATTTACCTCGGATCCGTGATCAGCGACCCCGAAAACCCCCGTATACCAAATTTGGCGCGAATTTGTTATTTTTTATAAATTCGTGATATCTGACCTTAATTGACCCGTTTTTTGAGGTCAAAAGAAGAACCATCAATTCTGACCGCTAATTTGCGTTCGGCGGAATCTTAGCTATATAAATGAACATTTGAATATAGAAAAAAATTTTTTCTATTTTTCCTAGCACTTGAATTTTTGAACGTGAATTTTTGCCATTTTTGACCTGTTTTTTGAGGTTAGGAAATTCGTGTGATGGGATAGCTCAATTCTGACACCGCATTCGTGATCAGGAGGCAAAAATCCTACGGATAACATATGTCGCATGAAAAGTACACACTACTTTTCTGTGTGGCTGTGTTATCATACACAAGAGATTTTGTGTATGTGTACATATTTCAATATTCCTAACAAATGTAATTATCAATTATGTTTCCCCCTTAAAAATTATGATGAACTTCATCAGCACGTGGATAGCAATTCAAACACTTTGATTCCATTAGAATGTTTATGATAGCATACCCTCATACAAAATTTTACAAAAAAGTTTTTAGTAAAAATTGCATTTTCAGGTCCAACTGCTGTACCATGATCCAAGCCTAGGCAGACCAGTAAATTTCGTCTTGAAACGACTCGAAATTCTTAAAGAAGAGGCCGCGGGCCTACTGAGGCCTCCTGACATAGACCGATTTCTTTCCAATTTCTGTAACTGGCAGAGGACTAAGAATCCCGTGGGAGACAGGGAACCCTTGCACTGGGACCATGCTCTTATCTTGACCGGCTTGGACTTATATGTACGCGGCAAGCATGGAAAGATTTCTAGTCAAGTAGTTGGTAAGATTAATTTATTTATGCTTTTAAAGTAACTTAAGAGTACTAAATTTTTCTACGTTTTTTAGGACTTGCACCTGTATCGGGCATGTGTACTGCCTCAAGCAGTTGCACTGTCAACGAAGGCCGGCATTTTGAGAGTGTCTATGTGGTCGCACATGAAATTGGTCACAAGTAAGCCTACTAATTTTTAATATACCTACATATACAGGGTGTTAGAATTTTGGCTGCCTTAATTTTAATAGACGATAGAATACATTAAAATAATCAAAAAAACCTTATATGACATGGGTTCTAAACTGAACTATTTCCGAGAAAAAATGAACAATATCTCCAACTTGATGTACAAAAGGTCGATTAATTAAGGAATATTGACATAACTGCGTGCATAAAATACCATAAAATACAACTTTTATCACTTTGAACTTTATTCTAAAAAATAATTAGCGTTGTAATTAATTTAAAATTCGATAAAATTCATATCGAGCACTGTAACAACGACGCGGCGGTTTATTAACACGAGGTACTAAGGTGTCCAGCAACTACCAATACGCAATTCAGTTGGTATCTGGATTCGACCGTGTCGGAGTGTTTTTTGAGTACCACTATTTCCTTTTCTTGAGGTGTTTTTCAGCGAGTGGGCGAAAATTGGATTCGAAGGTGTCGTACGTGCATTGAAAATGGTGGCGGACATTTTGAGGATATGTTGAAGATTGTTTCGTACTTGTGAGTTTAAAAATGACTGAATTTTGCTTTTTGGTAAGTACCTAAATTATTTTTAATACGTATGATTATTTAGACGACGTGAATATTTGGGTACTTTAATTACAGATTTTTCAAATACGTAATTTAATTAAAAGTTAAATTCCTGTTTTAAGAGATTCATAATTACTAAAATTCGAGCTAAAATTTAAGCACAACACTATTACACCAGGAAAATTAGCGAAAATAAAAGAGAAACTCGAAAAAAGTCCTATCCGCTAGATTATTGTAAAATTGTCTAAAGGAACATAATACAAGACATCTCTCGTCTCGTGAGTCAAAAACTTTTATTAGCTAACTTTTCTATTTAAACAAATAAGTGAGGAAAACAGTTTTTTCACTTTGCAGGGAAAACCATCAATTTTAGCGAAAAGT